CCACACTCATTCTTGTGAGGCCTTTACTATTTGCTTGTTATCATAAGATCTTATGGTTTCCCATTGAAGCTAAAACCTTTAGAATGTCCACCCACATTTTTATTCATTTGACATCAGTTCCTTGGACAAAGTGATCATCAGGGATCTTGGTTTTCCCTGGCAAAAAATGGCACATTCTAATGTTCATAGATTTCATAGATTTCATAGACATTAGGGCTGGAAGGGACCTCGGAAGATCATCGAGTCCAGCCCCCTGCCCAAAGGGCAGGAAGTCAGCTGGGGTCATAGGATCCCAGCAAGATAAGCATCCAGTTTCATCTTGAAGGTGTTCAATGAAGGCGCTTGAACCACCTCCGGTGGCAGGCTGTTCCAGAACTTGGGGGCTCGGACAGTAAAGAAGTTCTTCCTTATGTCGAGCCTGAAACGATCTTGAAGTAGTTTGTGACCATTTGACCTCGTCATCCCTTGGGGCGCTCTGGTGAACAAACATTCCCCCAGATACTGGTGGTCACCCCTGATAAACTTGTAGGTGGCCATCAGATCACCCCTGAGCCTGCACTTTTTCAGGCTAAAGAGCCCCAGGGCTCTCAGCCTGTCATCGTAGGGTCTGCTTCCCTGACCTCTGATCATGCGCGTGGCTCTTCTCTGGACTCTCTCAAGCTTCTCCACATCCTTTTTGAATTGTGGAGCCCAAAACTGGACACAGTACTCCAGCGGTGGCCTCACTAAGGCCGAGTACAGGAGGAGAATGACGTCCCAGGATTTGCTTGAGAAGCATCTATGGATGCAAGCCAGCGTTTTGGTCGCTTTACTAGCTGCCGCATCGCATTGCAGGCTCATGTTCATCTTGTGGTCAATGATGACCCCCAAGTCTCTTTCTTCCATAGTGCTAGCCAACATAGCACTGCCGAGCCTATAAGGATTGCTGCGGGTTTTTTTCCCCAAGGTGGAGAACCTTGCATTTATCGGCGTTGAACACCATCAGATTCTCGTCCGCCCACTTGCTGAGCCTGTCCAGGTCAGCCTGGATAACCCGCCTGTCTTCTGGTGTGGATGCTTTGCCCCAAAGTTTGGTGTCATCGGCGAACTTGGCCTTGGATTTTATAATGTTATAAAAGCCTAAGTCTGTCTGTCTGTAACACTTTATTTGCACTCTGATTGGCTGATGGAAACAGCCAATCAGAGTGCTCCAAGCATGGAGGAGCACTGCCATGATTCCGAAGCTGTGCTGAGGACCAGACAGAGGGTGTGGGACTAGACAGGGGGCAGAACAGTGGTAGCATGAAGCATTAGGTGGTGGCACTCCATCCCAGCCCCTTCCCCTTCCCCCGCCCCCTCCCCCTGTCACTCTTGATGGGCAATGGGCTAGTTCACTGATTAAAACCCCTCAAATCTGTGATTTAAGATGAAAGGCTCCTTACTCCTCCCACAGCCCCCTGGCCTTGTTTGTGCACCTCACTCCCCCCCACAGCTTCCCCCAGCCCTGCTGATGCCCCTCATGCCCCACCCAGAGCCTCCTGCCCCCCCAGTCCTGCTAGAGGGGGCTCCCAGTTGCCAGGGCTACAGGGCCAGGGACCCAGGCCCACAGTGCCCTGCCCCCAGCGCTTCTGCTGTCTGCCCCATGTATAGCCCGAGCCCAGCCCCCTCTGTTCAGAAGAGCCTGGTGCTAGCCCCAGCCCATATGCCCCACGCACAGATCTGGGGGCACACATCCCCATGCTCTCCCCAGGTGTGTGCAGTGGCGGGAGCTGCCCCCCCCGCCCCCCAATGAGCTGCTTGCGGCTCTGTCCTGTGCCCTGGCTGTGCAGCACCTGCGCCTGTCCCTGCCCCAGCTCCACACCGTCCTTAACCATGGGGGCCTTGATCTGCTCTACTCCTTCCCTCCCCACACCCCTTCCCCCACAACAGACTTACCAGCTGGATATTGCTCTTCAAGTTTCCGGGCTGCATATCGGCAATCAGATTGGTATTGGCCAATATGGCTCCTTAAAAATTGGCCATTAGTATTGGCCCAAAAAATTTCCATCAGTGAGCCTCTAATCTTTAGAGAAAGATTATGAATCTGGTGATGTTTCTGATGGGGAGAGATTGTTCTGGTAGGTCTCTCATTTGGACATATATTTCCCTTTGTAAACTATACAAAGGGGACTATAAGTGGCCCCAAGCCACTGCCACCCAGCCCTGCATGCTGGGATTAGCTCCATGCTTCCTTGTGCACCTGATCTAATGCACCAGTCTGTGCTATCTGGCACCTGGGACTTCCCACGGGTCCAGAATTTTGGCAGCAGGGGAGTGGTGCCACCACATTTCCATGGTTTTTTAAGGGGCCCTGTTAACATCGCCAGTGTCAGGACCCATTATCTTGCTCCCAAGATAATTAGCTTATCCACTGTGTGGCTACACTGCCTCTGATTTAGGAGGGACAGCACTGCATAGAACAATGCAGCATGCTTGAGGGTGCCAAACATTGCAAGTGTAGACATATCCTCAGAAATGGGAGTTTGTTACCAAGTTATCATTGATGACAGGGTAGTATATGACCATAGCCTGCAATGTGTCATAAATGTAAGAAAGCACATTTTGCCTGATATTGATAGAACAGTTCTTCAGTTAGATAATTCCTTAGTTTTCTCCTCTCCCATACCTTGTATATTACAACTAACGTATTTGGTGGCATAACTGGGGGGAGAGGGTATGATAGGGGCAACCACCCCAAGTATTGACTTAGGAGCGGGGGAGCAAAAACAATGGCTGCTGCTGGAAGCTATGCATTTGCAATCAGGAGTGTAGCAGCACCAGAAAATTTCTGCTTCCACTTTTGGCCAGGAAGCTCAGATATATTCTTACACTGCTGCACGTAAGTTTATTGTATATGTCATGATATTGTCTTGTATATTTCATGATACTATATTTTAGCGTTTGTCAACTGGGAGTACACATACCCCTAGGGCTACTTAAAAAGGTCCTAGGGGGTATGCAGACCTCATGTGGCCGATTAAATGCTGTGTATGTGTGCACAGCTGCAGCGCAGCACGCAGGCAGCCAGGAGAGCAGCCGGGTCCAGCAGGTAAGTGTGTTATGACGGAAGGGGCCAGGGGAGGGGTGTGGTAGATTAAGGCCCCAGTGATAGGGGAGGGAGTGGGGCAGGGGCAGGGGCTGCCCAGCTGGGGTGGGGGGCTGGACTGAGCCACGTGTACCCTGAGAGGGTATGGGGGATGTGTGCCCCTGAATCTGCACGGGGCAGGGCAGGATGCCGATGTGGGCTGGGGCCGGGGCTGTGCCAGGCTCTTCCTGGGAGGGGCTGGGCTGGGCTGTGCTCTGGGTGGGTGACAGCAATGCTGGGAGGGAGGTATGGGATGGGGTGTAGCCACCCCATAATTTGTTGTAGCCCTCCCGATAGCCCCCTCCCAGCACCACTGCCGCCTACCCCCAGTGCAGCCCAGCCCAGCCCAGCCCCTACCGGGAACAGCCCGGCACTGGCACTGGCCCAGCCCATAGCTGCAACGTGCCCCACCCTGTGCACAGATCTGGGGGCACATGGATTCCAGTGCCACCACTGCCTGCCCTGAACACAGCCTGGCCCATCCCCTACCTGGAGCAGCCCGGCACTGGCCCCAGCCCACAGCAGCAGCCTACCCTCCCCTGTGCAGATCTGGGTGCACACACCCCCATGCTTTCTTGCAGGTGCATGTACCTGCAGGAGCCACCCCTGGCACAGCTCAGTCCTGTGCCCCACCCTGGCTGGGCAGCCTCTGCCCCTGCCCCAATCCCACTTCCTCCCCTACCACTGGGCCAGCCTGCCCTTACCCCACATGCAGATCTGGGGACCCATGCCCTCCGGGGGTGCGTGCACCAGTGGGAGCCGCGACCCCCTCCCTGCACCCCCAGGATGAGCTGCTTGTGCCGCCCCTTAAAAACGAAAAAAATATAAAGTGGTACCTGAGCTGGAGCTTTCAGAGTGATAAAAAGGTTAAAAAAGGTTGAAAACCCCTGTGTATATTTCATTTAATGTTAGAGGATTTGCAGTTATTTTTTCTGTTTCTTCCTCTGATATACGGTGTAGTACAGGAGTGGGAAATTATTTGGGCCTACAGGCCACTTAGGGAGTTTTGCTTGGCTGTCATGGGCCAGGTCAGCACCACTCCCCATGCAACAGCTCACCAAAACTCCCTATGTGGGATGTTGCCACAGCGGGTGGGGAGCAGTGTTTGGGAGTGGAATGGATAGGTAAAGCTGGGATTATGGGGTGGGGTTGTGGAATGGTGACAGCATGGGGTCGAGACCTGAGGCAATGCTATGACTGGTGGCAGACACCAGAGCCCAGGATTCCCCCTGTGCCTAGGCTGGGCAGGACCGAGGGACCTGCCACAGGCCAAGGAACCTTCTGTGGGCCAAACAATCCCTTGGTGGGCCGGACCCGGCTCATGGGCCATGTTTGGCCCACTCCTGCTTTAGTATGAATATTATCTGTTGATATCTGTCCAGCAACTTATTAGTTTACTGCTGCCTGTCATTTTTCTGTTCTGGCCTTTGCATTTCTTGGTTCTAGTCAAATCATTTCTCTCACCATTAATCAATTGAGTTTATTTAAAATAGCAAAGTTTCTTCAGAGTGATTATATTCCAATCATTTTCAATATTTTTTATACTAGTTAGAAAGTAGGATGAATTTTGCACCTCTTATGATCTTGTTTGAACATTTGCAAAATAATTCATCTTGGAACATGTCAATTACTTACATGGTAACTTATCCTAATGTAAATCCATCGTGATAAAAGGTGTAGCAGATTGAAACCCTGAAATGCCTTGGCTGAGTTTCTTGTTCAATTCACTACTAATAATTACCTCTTTTGAAATCATTGTGCTCTGTATGCATTTGGAAGAAAGAGATCTTTAATGATAAACATAATATGAAGTTTTTATTATTTGTTTACTTGGTATGACAATCTGATGTCAGTTTAATCTGTAACCTTTATCTCATTGTTTCTATTTAGAGCAAATATGTTGTTTGATATTTGGATCAAGTATAAGCCTCAACTGCCAGATTGGATTTACAATGAAAAACTTCTTAAAGTTGGTGATTTGCTTATTCAGATCAAGGTAAGTCCATATAAAATAAAAAAAAGGTTCTATACCTAATTTGTTTGTTTCATTGTGTGTTTCTGTGCAGTTTTAGCTTTTTTAATTATAGTTTACTGGAAACTGTTTTGAATGTGAGATAAATTAACAAGAATAACTAGTGACAGCTGGTGTATTGTGTCTGTTGCTTATCACACTAATACACACAGTCTCACTTTTTCATTGTGTTCCCCCCATCTGTTTGTGGCTTCCACATGATATCTCATCTTGCTCAGGAATTCAAAGTCTTTTTCATTATATGTGCATAAAAATAGCACAGTGGGCCTGTAGTCTCTGACTGGGACCCATAGACTTCAATACAGATGACTAATAATGGCCTGGTGATGGTGGGTACAGGTCTGGGGCCTACTAGAAGATAATTTTTTGCCACTCTTACTTCAGTTATGCTTTTAGGAGCCTCACCAGCCAAAGGAGTTATCTGGAATTTTAAGAATTAATTCCCAGGCAAGATTCAGAGGCAGTTTGGAGATATAGTGCAGGAACTACTGTATTTACCCAAATTGAAGATGACTTTGAATTCAAGGCAACCTCCCCCTGTAATTAGATTATATATATCGAAAATTATAAACTTGTTATAAATCTCCATGTATAAAACCTAATTAGTGGAAAGTCATCTTAAATTCACCCCCCACCCCACTGCTGGGGCAGGGAAAACATTGGCAGGGGATGAGGAGCAGAGGAGCACATCCTTTGTTCTGCTGCCCCTTGTCCCCCTGTGCTTGCCCCCACTGCCTCATGTCCCACTCCCACCTGCTCCAGTCCTCTGTGCCTGCCCTCTGCTGCCTTGTCTCCACCCCCTTGCTCCACCGTGCCTTTCCTGCATCTTACTTATCTTTTGCTGCAGCTCTGCTCCTCTGGAGCCCTAGCTCAGCCTCAGCCCAATTTAGCCATGGAGAAGCAGTGGCAGCTCCTGGCCGGGCTGACTCAGGGCTGGAGGGACTGGAGCCAGAGCAGAAGGTAAGGGAGGACGGGGCAGCTGAGTTGGGGGTGGGGGAGCAAGGAGTGGCAAAGGCATGCTTCAGGGGGGAGTAGAGGAGATGGGGTTGAGAGGTAAGTAGCACAGGCAGCTGGGGGATAAGGGATAGGGGCTTAGGCTGCAGGGTCCCCCCACCACCCTGTAGTCTCCCCCGCCCTGTCACATGCCTCTCCTGCTCCTTACCAAATGTGCCATTCTGTCCTGGAGCAGGCAGTGGTTCAGCTTCAGCCTCAAGCAAGGGGACCAAAGCTGGGGCTAAGCTGACTCCTGCTCTGCGTTGGTACTCAAATCCAAGATGAGGATCCCCTTTCCCATGCTGATTGATAGAAAAAAAACCTAATCTCGGATTCAAGTAAATATGGTAATTAGCTGGTCTTAGATCAGTCCTTTAAAAGAAGGCAATGTTGTTCTTAGATGTGGGGTGGTTGTGAAAGGTTTCAGGATGGAGACTTGATATTACATGACTAGAAACTATCAGCTATCATATATAGTTCATTTTCTCACAATAAATATTTGCTGTAAGTGCATTAGAAGAAAGTAGCTAGAACATTGTTGCCTAATTGGCCCCTCCAATAAAATGCTACCTGGCGAGGATGGTTTTTGTGGTCAGATCTAAACCCTCAGTGAACTTCTATGTTTTATCATAGGTCTGCAACAAGGGGACACACATGCATGCACTCATGCACACATGGTTGAGAATAAGTATGCACTTGTTCTGGGAATATCTGTAGTATGATTCCTTTCTATAGACTGAGACCTTGTAGTGGTGAAGAGACATGTGTCCCCACATGTGTCCCACTGATTATCTGGAGTCTCACACTCTTGGCAGGGTCACCCATAGTGAGCAGGCCTGAGGGGAGTGTCTAGACCAGGGGTGGGCAAAGTCTGGCCCATGGGCTGGATTGAGCCTGCAGTGGACTCCATTTCCAAGCAGCCCCTGCCTGTGTCACTGTGGTCACTTTCCATGGAGTCCCTAGGAGAGGTGGCACCCAGGGCCAGTACAGGTGGTAACAGTGCAGAGCCAGGGTTTCCATGGAGTCTTCAGCTGCAGCAGCACTGGCAGGGCATGCAGCTGGATGGGGAGCAGCTCTGGGGCTGGGATCTTGCAGTGGTGACAGCATGGTCTGAAGCCAAGGCAGAGCTGCAATCTGTTGCCTGCATGCCTCAGGCAGGGACATGCAGGCAGTGGATTGTGGATCTGCCCCAGCTCTGGACTGCTCTGTTGCCACTGCAAGATCCCAGCCCCTGGCTCTGGAGCAGCTCGCTGCCCAACTTCATGCCTTGCCAGTTCTGCTGTGGCCAGGCCTCATGGAAACTCTGGCCCCATACTGTTACAGCGCCACTGCTACTGGGGTCTCCTTGGAAACGGGACGCAACGATGCAGGCAGGGGCTGCTGGGAAATGGAGTCTGGATGCTGGCTGGATCTGCCATTTTTTGGCCCCTGGTCTAGACAAATCACAGTCTAAACCCAGAATCCTCAATGGCAGATCAGGTGAAAGATGGTCAGGATCTTAACAGCTGTATAAATGGAAGAAGGCTGCAGCAAGATGGAGGTCTCCTCTTGTTTAGGGTTGTCCCTTGTCATTGGGCTCAGATGTCCACCTTGTCAAGATCATGTGATTGCTGTTTCCATTCACCAGCTTCTTCACGTTAAACAAAGTCACATGCAGACTTCTCCCACAGGAAACAACATGCTTTCCTGTTGGTACCTCCAGAAGCCCTGCAGTGATAGGTTAAGTGGTGGTGGAGACAGGGCTAGTGAATCCAGGAGTCTCCAGTTACGAATACGCATGCAGGCAGTGGTAGCCTGATGGGTGTCTTGCACTTGGGTTGAGACAGGGATGCAGTTCAGCAGCTGCTACCATGACTGAGCACTCCTATTCAAGATCCCCTCTGCTCACCCCACATGCGGAAGGGGCCAGAAAAGGTGCCATAAACACAGGCTATCTTATCTGATCCTGGCAGGATATTTGCATTCAGTAGATGACTCTCTCTGCAGTTGAAAACATCATATGAAGACAATGGTTTTTGCAACATCAAATGTTCACACCTTGATGGATAACCAAGACAATGAATGACCAGAAAGAAGGACCACAATGCAGGGAACTAGTGAGAAACAACATTAACATCACAGGTCTGAGTGAAACAAGACAACCGGATAAAGGTCAGGTGACAGAAGAGGGTGTAAGCTACCCCTGGAAGGGGAAACCAGCCCAGGATATGGCATCAGCTTTGCCATCAAGAATCAAGTCATCAGTCAACTTATTGAGCTTCTTGTGGATGTTAATGAACGTCTTCTGACCGTCCATCTTAAACTGAGCAACAACTGGTATGCTACTGTCTTCGTGTATGCCCCGGTGCTTGATGCTGACAATGATGTCAAAGAACATAGGATCTCTTGTCAGCCCTCTTATCCCAGAAGAAGTCTGGCATGCTATCAAGGAAACCAAGAACAACAACGCTACTAGAGTGGATGGCATACCTGCTGAAACCCACAGTGTTGACAATTCAAAAAACCTGAGGTGGAATTGATCCAAGTTATGCAGTTTTCTGTAACCGGTGTAGTTTAGATTAGTAGCAAACAGAACACATGCTCACCCCTTGGAGGGAGGCAAATATTGACTGGGTTCCATCATTTTAAAACCAGTCAATGTGTGCTGAACTTCTGTTATGGGCATAGACCAGTGTCGAGTGCCAAAATTCTGTTTTGTTACAGGTATAGACCATCTTCCAATCATTTTTACATGTAAAAGTGTAATGTCTGTACCTGGCAAATATTTTTCCTTTGACACAAATGGTATGTTCTGTAATGAGGGTGAAACCTCCTATATCAGAGAGAGAGCTATTTTAGTGGTTAGCTTAAAATTGTGTAATGAACTCACACATGAGCTAAAGACCTTCCACTTCAAGAGCAAGTCACATTTCTGTGAGCTTGCCAAGACAAACCATTCCATTGCACGTGTTCTTCTCCCTGGGGACAGTATGAAAGAACAAACAAGTGACAGATGCTAGTTGCTTTGTTTGGTGAACAGCTGAAAGGTGCTTAGCTGTGATGAGTGTGGTATAATAACCGAGGCAGAAAAGGGTTTATTGAGGGGCAGATTAAGCAATACAGAATATCAGACTTTTTTTCCACTAAAATAGCATTTTCTTGACTCCTGTAGTCAATTATATCAGTTCTTACTGACTATTTTAAGGTTCTTTCCTCTGTGCTGCTACCAGCTCCCCATTCCAGAAAAGCACCAGCATTTTACCTGTTCTGGCAGCTTCAAACCTTCATGCTGCCCCTTTGTCGAGAAGTTCCCATTATCTGCCCATATGCTCCCAACATCCAAGAAGCTTCCAGCTCCTAGAACCTAGATTCAAGATTTAGAAATAAGGCAACATTCTTATTAATAATTAATTAGCTGGTGTGATAAGACTTCCCCCATTATACTGCCCAAACAGTGTTATTACCTTCTATATTCTCTCTCTCTCTGACCAGATACAGACATAACACTTTTTACTGGTGTAAGGGATCCATCAGTGCCAGATTAATGGAAGGCAAGCTTCTGAATGCCAACCAACATGGTTTTATTACTGGAAGGTCTTGCCTGAGCAACCTCATCTCCTTCTATGACCAGGTAACATATGCCCTGGACAAGGGAGATGATGTGGACGTCATATAGCTGGACTTCAGGAAGGCCTTTGACTTAGTTCCTCATGATGTCCTCATGGTTAAGATGGGGAACTGTGTTCTTGCTCATCATACAGTCCAATAGCTAGGCAACTGGCTACGGGGTCGAACCCAAAGAGTACTAGATGAAGGGAGCAAATCAACGTAGCGCAGGGTTACCAGTGGAGTTCCTCAGGGCTTGGTACTTGGTCCAGTACTCTTTAAAATTTTCATCAACGATCCAGATTTGGGAGTCAGATGTGAACTGGCCAAGTTTGTGGATGATAAATTATGGGGGAGGGCTGTCACACCGCAGGACAGGCTGGGAA